TATTTTTGGTTTGTTTGTTTGTTTGTTTTTCAGCAAAAAACTGGCCACAGCAAAAGCATACTCAGATGAGATGCTTATTAAAGCTTATTAGCATAGAAGCAACAGGGAAGTCAGAGAAAAGGGGGCCTTGGAGACAGGTGGAGGGGGTTAGCTTAGGATGAGCTGCCACAGCCCATTGCTCTCCTGTTGCAAGTCTTTGGGGTCCTTGGGAATTTAGATGTGTGCTTGTGGGGGAAAGGTGAAGGGGATGACAAGGACATGCTCTCTCGAGGGAGCACATTTAAAAAATCTCCTTTAACATGTTTTAAAGCAATGACCACTGCTTTTCCACCCTAAGTTCCAAGATAGGCACACCAAAGATGAGCACCTTATGGTAGTTGTTCAGAATGACCCCTGGACAGGTTAGGGTAGGCAAACATAATTTGTGAATTAGGTCTGCTCTGTGTCTCTGCAATTAGGAACAAGGGCTCCATGCTGATAACGTAGGCTGCTTCAAGACTCTGCCAAGCCGAAACCGATTTGGCTTTGTAGTAGAGCTTCGGTCTGCGGACTGAAAGGTCCCAGGTTCAATTCCGGTCAAGGGCATGTAAATTGGTTGCGGGCACATCCCCGGTGGGGGGTGTGCAGGAGGCAGCTGGTTAATGTTTCTCTCTCATCGACGTTTCTAGCTCTCTATCCCTCTCTCCTCCTCTCTGTAAAAAATCAATAAAATATATTAAAAAAAAAAAAAAAAAGACTCTGCTAAGCTGAAGCTTGGAAACAGATGAGGCAAGGACACGTAAAAATGCCATAGGCTTTGTGTTTAAGTTTCTTTATGCAGTGTTCATTTGGATAGTGTAAACTTTTTGCTTTCCAGAATTCTGACAAAGTTGGTTAACTTTTTTTTTTTTTCAATGTTTCTTAGGAGGGCTGTGTTTGGAGCTGTCTACTCCACATTTTTGCTGACATCACTCTATAAACCTATTTTTTAAAACTATAATTATGTGTAGAATTTTCTTAGCTTAAAAACGGGTATTTTACTACTGTGGTTTAAAGACTTGCATTTTTAAAATGGCTCAGGAGCTATAAAATGTTAATTCTGCTACCTCAAAAGGAACTGTTTTGGTCAAACACATTTTGAAAGAGCATATGAAAGGCTCTGAGAAGTTGTAAAGAAACCTATGTACGTTTACTTTAACCAAGCATTTCCCAAGTTTATTTCACTTAAGAGCCTTGCTAACTGGTAACGAGTCAGCATTTGAAGAGCACCTGTCACTAGGGCAGGAAAAGAAAAACAGTCCCAGTGCTTCAGAGCTTTGAAAGCTCCATGTTTTACAGCTGTTTTCATAGCTGGGTGTAGGAGCGGTGAAGAGGCAGGCATGACGTACTAATTGAGAACAAATATGAGTCATAGCCCCTTCTCTCCAGGAGTAATGAGACACACCTGGAAATATGCAAGACAAGGGGCCTAGGCCATGAGAGCCGTGGGTGCTGACAGCTGTCATCGCTGACAGATGACCTGGGCAGAGGTTACAATCTACCTAGAGTGCACTGCTGCCTGCTGAGTGACTACCACAAGCTAGACAGCGATTTTTACAAAGTAAGCTGTGTTTGAAAACAAAACAAATGAGTGGGTGCTGTGGAATGCTGTTATGAGTACCTTTGATGTTGTTTTAGGGCACCAAATAGATAGTTAATGTGGGAAGAGTGGAGGGCCTGAGCAGAGGAACACTTTTATTGCAGTTGTTTACACCACTCTTTCCCTTCCTGGCTCGTGGATCCTTCCAGGGCCAGGAGAGGCTCCGACTCACCTTTATTTCCAATATGTCCAATAGAGTTTCGAGGGGAAATGGAACATGAACATGATACTGAGCCAACACTGTTCTTTCCCTGGCCTCAAAGCAGGAATGAAGAATATAGAACCCCCTCTAAACAATTAAAACAAGACATACATTTAGACCCTTTTACTTAAATGGCTGGAACAGTGGTTATTATTTATTCTACTGTCCATCCACCCACCTGAATAAATCCTGACTATCCACATAAGATCCAAAATGCCCAGGGATATGAGCACTTAATTCCAATATCTTGCTGTGTGTAAACTAGCCAGATAAATGCAATCGTATTGCCAACAAGGCAATACTTTTCAACTTGATTTATGGACTCAATGCAATCCCAACCACAATCCCAGCAAACTTGTGGATATTGACAGATCAATTCTACTGTGTGTATGAAGAGGTGAAAGACAGAATAGCCGACACAATACTGAAGGGAAAACAGCTGGAGCACTTGTTCTGACTTCAACATTTACTGTTAACGCCACATGAACCAACAGAGTGGAAAGTAAAAAGACAGTGTGGTATTGGTAAAAGAGTAGGCAAATACATCAATGAAGCAAAATAGAGCCTTAAATAGGCTCACATAAATATAGTAAACTGATCTTTGACAAAGGAGCAAGGATAATAAAACGCAGCACAGTCTTTTCAACAAATGGTACTGGAACAACTGGACGTCCATGAGCAAAGATAAAAATCTAGATAAAGACCTTAAATGATTCATAAATATTAAATAAAAATGGATCACAGACCTCAATGTAAAACGCAAAACTATAAAACCCCTAGAATATAACATAGGAGAAAATGCAGGTGACCCTGGGTGTGGTGAGGACTTTTACAATCCAACACCAAAGGCACAATCATGAGATAAATAATTGCTAAGTTGGACTTCAGTAAAATGAAGAACTTCTGCTCCATGAAAGACAATGAGAAGAGAATGAGAAGAGAAGCCACAGACTGGGAGAAAATACTGGCAAAACACACATCTGATAAAGAACTATTACCCCAAGTACACAAAGAACTCTTAAAACTCAATAATAAGGAAACTAACAACCCAATTCAAAAATGGGCAGAGGGTTTGAGAAAAAAGAAGAAAAAAAAAAAGACAGGAAGAAAGAATTCATGGACATGGACAACAGTGTGGTAATTGGGGGGGTGGAAGGGTAGAGAGAGTTGTGGAGGTGAACGACGTTATGGGGGAATAAATGGTTATGGAGAAAAACAAAAGAAAACTGAGCAAATGATCAAAACAGATCCCTCTTTAAAGAAGATCCACAGATGGCAAAAACAAAACAAAAAACATGAAAAGATATTCAACACCATGTCATTAGAGAATTTCAAATTACAAGTGAGATACTACTACACAGCGGTTAGAATGATCAAAGTCCAAAACACGACCACCAAAGCGGCTAAGCATGAAGAGCAGCAGGAACTCTCATACATCGCTGGCAGGAATGCAAAAACGGTACAGACAGTTTGGCAGTTTCTTATAAAACTAAACATACTCTTACCATGTGATCCAGAAGTGATGCTCCTTGGCTTTTACCCAAATGAGTTGAAACATATCCACACAGTCTACGGCCATACCACCCTGAATGCGCCCGATCTTGTCTGAAACATATCCACACAAAAATCTGCACATGGACATTTACACCTTTATTCACAGTTGCCAATACCCGAAAGCAACTAAGATGTCTTTCAGTAAATGAACGAATAGTGTGATTCATCCAAACAATGGAAATTCAGCAATAAAAAAAAATGACCTACCCAGCCACCAAAGGACATAGAGAAAACTTACATGCATTTTAGTAATGGGAAGAGGCCATTACTAATGTAGCAAATGTACTTCTGTGGTGTGGGAGGTGAAGAGGCAAAGAGGGAAGTCTGCATGAGTTGGGGCAGGAGGCATATGGGAACTCTGTATTTCCCAGTCATTGTGATATGAACCTGAAACTGCTCTAAAAAAAAATGTTTACTTAAAAAACGAAGTGGATTCTGAAGATAAATCAAGAGTATGGTCCCTGGATTCAAGATTTCTGTTTTGCATGACGAGACAAAACAGCCTCACTGCAGTGACACCTGAAACTTCAGGATTTCTCTATGCAATCTACAAAAACCAACCTGTGACGAGCGGCTGGGTTTTCTCCTGTCTGGTTTCCTGTACGTAGGACCTGGACCACAAGGATCTGGGTTGCATCCTGTGCAAGGTGAGCTCTTTTTCTTATTTGTAAAGATTGAGTGAAATCACGTGTCAAATGGAGAGCTTTATAAACTGTCAAACACATATAAATTGCTACTGATTTATAAATGTGACGTAGGAATATTTGAGATGTGTAAGAGTTGATTACAATGCATGGCCACACCATGCCTCTCACTGGTCAGCCCTGGCTTAGAGAAAGCACTTATGGGTAGACCCATATCCCATGCACCCAAGACAACCAGCTCAAAGCAGGGACAGGCAACCCGAAAAGGTCCTAATCTCATAGCTCTCTGCTCTGGATACAACTTGCAATGGGAAGGAAGGGAAGAAAAGCCCACCTATCCTCCCTCTACATACCCTTCAGGACATTAAGACAGCCGTTGAAACAGGACAAAGGGTCATAATTTCCAAGCATCTTTTTAGTTAAACAGAAGGCAAAAGCACACAGCGGCCCCCATGCTACGCCTGTGAAGGCTGGGAGAAGCATCTACAGGGGAGAAGCCCTTCTCCTGAGCTTCCAAGTCTTCTGCTCTCTTTCCACATTATTTCCATAACGAAATAATTTGGAAGAGCCAATACCTGGAAAGTTCATTGCACATGATACCCTAAAAGGAGACCAAGTGTTAAAGCAGAAATTTATTAAAACCCATTCATATAGTGTTTTACAGACAAAAAAAATGTACAGAGTCCTCAACATCAGGCAATGAATTCTATTCTCAGAAGTGTTTTGCGAGAAGACCAAATTCTTGCCCTCCCTCCGAAGATTCTTCTGTTTCTACTCCAGTGAACGATGCATTTATTACGTCACGTCCCCAGAACAATCCTTTGAGACCCCCAAACCTCTGCAGAGAGTGAAGAAAACCTTCTCCAGAACGCAAAGCTTCCTCGCAGAGGCGTAGTGCAGGAGATCCATAAACAGCGCCGTTCAGCGGAGTGCGCACGCCGGCGGGCCGGCCATGGGAGAGCTTCGGGCGCGGCGGGCGGCCCTAGCTGCGGAGCGTGGCCAGCCGCGACTGCATGGCCTCCAGCACCTCCTCCTCCTCCTCCTCCTCCTCCTCCTCTGAGGCGGCCGTGGCTCCTGGAGGCTCAGGCTCTGGAAGGGCATCAGTCACTTTACTAGGTGCTTTGCCCAAGGCCCCTGAAAGGAAACCGTGAACAGATCAACACCACGTTGGCTTAGGACATGGTCCGTCCCCATCCCGCCTCTCAGGCCAGGCTCAGTCTGACAGAGAAGGGGCAACAGAACAAGCGGTTTAGGTTGAGGTTTTGCTCATGGTGACAAATGTGCAAATACCAACCTGTAATGACACCAAAGTCATAATAACCAGAAAGATTCTGATTTTAAGAATTTTGGTTGTGAATGAACAAACTGAACTACCAAGTACAATAGGGACAGGCTCATAGGAGCAGGCAGACAGACCTGGTGGCAGGGGTAGAGGCGTGGAGGGACTAAGCAAAAAAAAAAAAGGGGGAGAGAGAGAGAGAGGGAGAGAGAGAGGGAGAGAGGGAGAGAGAGAGGGAGAGAGAGAGGGAGAGGGAGAGGGAGAGGAAGGGAGAGGGAGAGGGAGAGGGAGGGAGAGGGAGAGGGAGGGAAAGGGAGACGGAGAGGGAGGGAAAGGGAGAGGGAGGGAGAGAGGGAGAGGGGGGCGGGAGACACCTTGTAGACATGGACACCAGTGAGGCGACTGGGGGGGAGGGGTGGGAGAGGTGGAAGAAAGCACAGAGGAAATAAATGGTGATGGAAAAAATGAAGAAAAAAAAAAGAATTTTGATTCTGAAGCTCTTGATCTAAATTTCTAAACACTATTGAACACTTAATTTTCAAGATTCATGAAGATTTCAAATCTAACTAAATTGTTTCTAAATTTTCAAAAAAAATATTTTTTTTTGAATATGGAGTAACTACCCCTCTCTCCCCCAATAAATGAAAACAAATAAAAAAAACCCCCAATAATTAAATCTCACCAATTATATATATTTTATCAAACTTGAAATTCAGAAAATCCAGAAGTAAAAATAAAGATTAAAAAAACTCAACTTCTGCCGGGACCGGTTTGGCTCAGCGGATAGAGCGTCGGCTTGTGGACTGGAAGGTCCCGGGTTCGATTCCAGTCAAGGGCATGTACCTTGGTTGCGGGCACATCCCCAGTGGGGGGTGTGCAAGAGGCAGCTGGTCGATGTTTCTCTCTCATTGACGTTTCTAACTCTCTGTCCCTCTCAATTCCTCTCTGTGTAAAATCAATAAAATATATTAAAACAAAACAAAACAACTCAACTTCTGATCAAGATGGCAGAATAGATGCTGTACTCGCCTTCTCCCACAATCACATCAAAACTACAACTGAATTACAGACCCACCACCGAGAACCCCCCGAAGACTAGCCAAACAGAATTCACATCTAGCTGAACAGATCTCACACCACGTGTGGCAATTAAGAAATGGGAGGGAACCTAGCCCTTGCCAGCTCAGAGGTTAAGCGTTGTCCCATGCACTAAAAGGTCATGGGTTTGATTCCCAGTCAGGCACATGCTCAGGTTGCAGGCTTGATCCCCAGTGTGCAGTGTGCAGGAGGCAGCTGCGGACTGATGTTGATGTTTCTCTCTCATCGATGTTTCTATCCCTCTCTCCCTCTCAAAACATATTTTTTTAAAAAGAAAAGAAATGGGAGGGGTATCTCGGCTGCAGAGGTCCCCCTGGAGAGTGAGGGATGTCAGCCACAAACCACTTTCCAGTGCTGGGAAGGGAAGTGCCCATAATATCTGGCTGTGAAGATTAGCAGGGATTGCTCTGAGCAATACGAAGGGCTGCTACAGACTGAGGTGCTGATTATATGGAGACCACACAGACTCACTCGTTCACATACTCACTGGCTCTAAGTTCCTGCACAGGGGCAGCAGCATGAAAAGCATCAGGAGTGTATGGGAGGAGGGACATGTGGGGAGGAACTAAATTGACTGATTTCAGGGAAAGCTGGAGGGATAGGGGAGAAGGCAACTCTCTCCAGGGGTCGAAGTACTCGAAGGTATCAGATTTGCTCTCTTGTTTAAATTGGCTAACACCGCTCACCTGCCTTGGTGACACCAAAACCCTGCCCCACACAAGTCCTTTGCCTGGCCTGAGCCTCTCCAGCAGCTCTTTCATACAAACAGCCCACCGTGGCCAAGCTGCAGACTTTCCCCAAAATCTGTACACCTCTCATGGGTGGTGGGCACCCTAGACTTGCACTGCAGACTTTTTCAAAGATCCACAAATCCCACATGTATGATGGCTGGCCTTAGCATGCATTGTAGCTCCTAAGACCAGCACAAATGATGGCTGACCTTGGCCTGCACCAGAGACACTCCCAAGAGGCCTCAGACCAGAGCCTGAACCAAGTAGCTCCACAACTGACACACCCTAAGGTCAGGCTTGGCTGGCACCAGAGCCCCACCAAAGTGACTCCAGGTCTGTGGGATCAGCCTTGCATCACACCTTGTCCATTACCCTGGCAGCCAGCGCTCACAGCCAGTCAGCCTGAGGGTCAAACCAAACCGCTGACATGCTGGCAGCATTTGGAGCTCAACTACATCCTACAAAGGGGACACTCCCGGAGCACCTGGCTTAGAAGACCAGGAGACTGTGTCAATGAGCCACACAGGACACTTTTTATAAAACTTCACTCTGTCAAGAATGGGAGACAAAGCAGATCTACATAATACATAGAAACAAACACAGGGAGTCAGCCAAAAGGAGACAAAAACATGCCCCCAAGGAAACACTAGGACAAAACTTCAGAAAAAGAATGAAAATGGAGAGAAGCAATCTACAAGATACAGAATACAAAACATTGGTTATAAAAATGCTCAATAAATTTGGGAGAAAAATAGATGAACTCATTGAGAACTTCAACAAAGAGAATACAGAAAACAGGTTATAGGTTGAAAATATATTTAAAAAGTCAGAAATGAAAAATACAATAACTGAAACGAATAAACTAGTGGGAATCTACAGCAGATTAGATGAAGCAGAGGAAGAATATACTAGTGAGAATCTACAGCACATTAGATGAAGCAGAGGATCAAATCAGTGATCTGGAAGACAAGGCAACATGCTGCCAAGAGACCCACTTTCGATGGAAAGACACACAAAGACTGAAAATAAAGGGATAGAAAAACGTGTTTCATGCAAATGTAAATTTAAATAAAGCTGGACGTAGCAATACTTATATCAGACAAAATAAGACTTTAAAACCAAGACTATCACAACAGACAAAGAAGGTCATTTCATATACAATAACCAAGATATGGAAACAACCTAAGTGTCCATCAATACATGACTGGATAAAGAAGATGTGATACATATATACCAGTACAATGGCCATAAAAAAGAATGAAATCTTACTATTCACAACAATATGGATGGACCTGGAGGATATTATACTAAGTGAACTAAGTCATACAGAAAAAGTACATGAACAAACAAAAAACAGAAACAAACTCATAGATACAGATGGGAGAAGGGTTGGACAGATGGGTGAAAGTCATTATGAAGTACAAATTACCAGTTATAAAAATAGTCACAGGAATATAAAGTATAGCACAGGGAATATAGTCAATAATATATATGTGCCCTGGCTGGGTAGCTCAATAGATCAAGCCCAATACACCAAGGTTATGGATTTGATCTCTAGTCAGGACACATACAAGAATTAATGAATGCCTAAATAGATGGAACAACATATCAGTGTTTCTCTTTCTCCTTTCCTCTCTAACAACATCAATAAGTGAAAAATTTAAAAAATATATATGTATGTATTGTGTCAGATGGGTACTAGACTTATTAGGGTAATCACCTCATAAGGATATAATTGTCTAATCACTATGTTGTATACCTAAACATAGTATGAACATATGTTGTGCCCAGCATATAATATTGTATGTCAACTGTAAGTGAAAAATAACTTCAAAAAAAGAACAGGGAAAAAACCCAAATAAACCTCATTAATCATCACTCAGAGATAACTATCATTTTCCTATAGATGTGACTTACATAAAAATGTGTAATTCTAAAGGCTTTTTTCTCATAATACATTATGAGCATATTTACATGTCACTAATATATTTATTTCTACATTACCTATCACAACTGTAAAGTATTCCATTACAACATATGTAACATACTTGACTTAACCAATATTCTGTTATTAGGCATTTAACTTGTTTAGAACTTCAATATTATAAACAAGACTACTATAGACATCCTTGAGTTAAATCATTCAGCCATCTTTAATTACTAGGGTAAACTACCAGAAGTCAACCTTTTAGGTCAAGGGCTTTTGATAGCTATTGCCAAATTACTTTACAGAAATTCTACACCAATTCAAACTCCCAAATGCAGTGTGACACCAATACTTCACCTTTCAACTTGAAAACTATAGGAATTAAAAAAAAAAATCTCTTTATTTCTGTGTTCTAAAAAAGATGTTTACAGATAATGTGCTTATTTTTCAAGAAATAACTTGCACAATCTAAAATTTAAAATGTGTAAGTAAGGAAGTTATAGCCTAAAGAAAAAGCCACTAGCTAATTTAGTGAATGCAGGAAGAATGGCCATAAAAGGAGATGAGAAGGGATGAATGTCAGGGTCATACCTGCTGTAATTTCAAACAGAATTTTGTCAATTTCCATTTCTGCTGCTTCTTCCATTTCTTCCTGGTCTTCCATGCTTTCAAAAGTGTCTTCCAACATCTCTTCTATGATTCCTGCCTAAACACAGATAAACCAGGTGACTTCCAACAGTTAAATCTGTTCTCCAAAGACACCTTTAAGGGCGAGTGCCCAGTGAACACAGCGTCTCCCAGGCCAGGCCACCTTTTGAGGGTTAACACACAAGACCGTTGGCCACAGGAAACCCTGGATGCTGCCCTCTCTGCAGAAAGGCAAAGGGCCAAAAGGAAACCCTTCTCCAGAGGAACCTGGGCACCATCTGTCTCAGTACTTCTGTTGGGGCCTGTAAACTCCAGCTTCCCGAATCCAAAACACTCATTCCCTGGATCCAACTTCCCCAAGAGTTCTGGGCACACTTCCACTTCCTCTAAGGGGCACTCTGGCAATCTGACCCAGCCTCTGCCATGCTCAGCTCAGGCGGTTTTAACCAATATTAACTGCTGCCCCTCTGTCCTCAGTGTCTGGCCACAGTGCTCCGTCCATTCCTGCCCAACCCAGCCCTAGCCTTTGCCACTTGCTGAGTGTGACACCTGGCAGGATGCAGGGCTAGCCCAAGGTCACCTTCATCATCTCTTTGGACAGCTCCCGCATGGTGGCCTGGATTTCCGGGATCTTCACGAGAGTCTGCATGGCCTTCATCACTTCTGTGCTCTTCTGCAGGGAACCGGCCACTCGCAAAACCGCTGAAAGAGAAGCACTGCTCAATAGAAGGTCCACAGGATGAAAAAAAGAGAGTAAAATCACAAGCCATTCTAAGAAAAGGACACAGTAGTCTGTGAATTTCCAAAGCCATTAATGTATCTGCGGAATACACTTCCGCACCAGGTGGCCAGGTACTCTGCATGCAGAACAGTTGCTCTTCTAGTCCTCCATTTCCTGCCCCACCTCTGAACCTCTCTCTTCACTTTCTCCCCTCAATCAAAACATACTTATCATCTCTTATTAGTGGAAAGCTGTTGTCAGAAAGCTTCACTTGGAAAGCATCTGATCATGACAATGTACTCACAGCTGACAAGGTTAGCATACCACCCCTCCCAGGGACATCTGCACTTTAGAAAAAGGAATGACTGCATCCAATCATGGATTTTCAAAGCAGCAACAGGCCAAGGGGTGGGATGGGGCACATCTGAAGCAAGACCTCTCAGGAACTCTCATTACACCATTTCTAATTTTCCCCTCTCACTCCCTCAATGCAGACTCCTTCCTCTTGCCTGTCCCAAGTCCTGTCCTCATGTACCTTCTCTGCTGTATTTAATTTATCAACAAGCAACACCTTATAATAAATCCCCTCATTTCTCTCCCTGGGGGTTCCTCTCACCAGGCAGGGAAGCCAGGGGATCCTCCTCCAGCGATCTGGACCACCCGGAATCTCCTTTTTCTCCCAGGCCTCTTCCTCTCCCTCGGTTCCCAGTGTCTTAATGGCCCTGCAGCCTTTCCGTGTTCAAGGGTTTGGCACATCTCCGGCTTGTTTATACCTTCTAAAGTGACCAGACGTCCCCATTTTTAACAATTTGTCTCTCGGCATTTTGTCACCTCCAAGTCCCACTCACTGGTACTCTGCATGCAGAACAGCCTCTCCTCTAGTCCTCTCTTCCTCGCCATCCAGCGGACGGACGTATCAGGCTCTGCCCCCTACCACCCAGTGCCGCTGCCCCACTCGCTGCACCTGCAGTCTGTGCGTAAGTGTGCCAAGGCTCTCCGCTGCCTAAGAAAGAAATGACAATTCCTCAGCTAAACTCTCAGCTTGACTCCAAATCACCTTTGCAGCTTCACCTCCCATTGCTCCCCTTAATGCACTCTCATCAAACTGAATCAAGCTCAGCTGGCTGAACACAGCTTGAAATACTTCACCTGAGCCTGTGTGCACTCTAGTTCCTCTACTCAGCTGCCTCCCTGATTCTCCCCAAATACTTTTCCTCTGAACTCCCACTGCATTTTATCTGCTCCGTAGCCACAGGGCATCTCAGTTTGAAAGTGTTTCTAAGAACTCTTGCTTTTAACAGCTGTAAAAAAAAAAATGCCTTCTTATCCTAGCCGGTTTGGCTCAGTGGATAGAGCATGGGCCCACAGACCGAAAGACCCCAGGTTTGATCCCATCTAAGGGTACATACCTGGATTGTAGGTTCAATCCCCAGCCCTGGTCAGGGTGCATGAGGTAGGCAACTAATCGATGTGTCTCTCTCACATTAATGTTTCTCTCTCTGGCTCTTCCCCTCCCTTCCACTCTCTCTAAAAATCAATGCAAAAAAAATCCTTGAGTGAAGATTAACAAAAAATAAAAATAAAAACATTAAAAAACAACAACAACAAAAAAAACCTGTCTTCTTCACTGCCCTGCTCATCCTTACTGGCCATCAACTGGAGAGTTGGGATACCTTCCTTCAGAGCGGAGTGCACTATTGTCTCTGCCCCATCACCTTTACACATACTGACACTCCAGTTGGAGCATCCCACCAACACATACACTTAATTGTTCCTCCTCCTTCAGGTTTCATCCGTGCTGTAAGGAGCCACTTTTTTTTTTTTTTTTTTTAATATATTTTATTGATTTTTTGCAGAGAGGAAGAGAGAGGGATAGAGAGTTAGAAACATTAATCAGCTGTCTCTTGTACACACCCTACTGGGGATGTGCCCACAACCAAGGTACATGTCCTTGCCCGGAATTGAACCTGGGACCTTTCAGTCCGCCGGCCGACGCTCTATCCACTGAGCCAAACCGGTTTTGGCAGGAGCCACCTTTGACTGCATCTCCCTTTTACAGTCTCCTAGTGCTTAACACAATTATAAATAAACATGTATTTTATTACTTTATTAAACTTATCCAATTATTTGCTTTCACTCCATACCTAGAGGGCAATACTGTGCCTGTAATGTTCACTGTTTTATCTCCAGTGCCCAGCATTTTTATGGTACATAATAGGGACTAAAAGAATGTGTTTATTAAATTAAAACATTTTGCTCTTTGTAACTTAGTCTATTTGCTGAAGAGACTGGAGAAAGTTCTCATGAAACTTACACTTAATGCAACCTCCCCCATTTCCCCTCTCTCTTCTCCTTTTTTAAAACAGCATTTTTATTTATTGCAGAGAGGAAGGGAGAGAGATAAAAACATCAATGATGAAAGAGAATTATTAATCAGCTGCCTCCTGCACACCTCCTACTGGGGATGTGCCCGCAACCAAGGTACATGCCCTTGACCGGAATCAAACCTGGGACCCTTCAGTCTGCAGGCCGATGCTCTATACACTGAGCCAAACCGGTTACGACTGGGCATATTAATTTTGATATACTCATTAAGACTTGAGTGGAGATGCAAACTATACACTTAGTGAGGAAGTCAGGCTGAAGACAAAACTTCAAATATCAACAGCATTTAAAGGCACAGGGCTAGATGGGATCATGAGGTTAGAAGATGGAAGAGAGCAGATGCCAAAACAGCCTATAGCCCTTTAACATTTAAAGATCGAAGGGCAGATACTTTACTTCTCAGTAGTGATAGAACTACAGAGTATTATATCTTTTAAAAAACAACATATTGTTAGGAACGTACATTTAAAGGGTAACAAGCTCTTGACTTATGTGCAGTACCTGAGAAAGCTTTTGTCATGTTTACCACTGAAAGTACATGCTACGGGAGAAAAGATTTTTTCCCCCCACGTAAATTATTCGTGACCTGTGAGTTATTGATTGAAAAGATTTTTTTGGACTCAGTACACAGGGAGAAAAGGTGACAGAAGAGAGTGATCAAGTTCACTAGTTCCCAGAAATGTTAAACAAGGTAACACTTCTTAAAGCTTAAAAAGTCTGACTATAAAAAGATATGAAAAAAAGAACTCTCATCTGCTGCTGAAATATAAATTAGTAAGACCTCTGTAGAGAGCAATTTTGCAATTCTAGAATAATTTAATGCAGCTATTCCACTCTGCATATATAACTGTCTTAAAGAAACCACTTGACGTATGCAAGAGTGAAGAGACATTCACAGCAGTACTGTTAGCAACAGCAAACACTGGAAATAGTCTAAATGCTTACCAATGGGGGAAATAAAAATAAAATATGACACATGCATATAATGCAATACCAACCAATAGTTAAAGTACATATTTATCACTGAGTATATTTCAAAAGTACAATGATACATGGTACAAAGATAACGAACTGGTGCATATAATGTAATACCATTTATACAAATTTTAAGATTCATGATACTGGTTTCCTCTAGGGAGGGTGAGAGAGAAGGAATGGAATTGGAAAGGTATATTAAAGGAGCTTCAAGTTTAGTAATAATATTTTATCATATGAAAACTGAGGCAAATGTAACAAAATATCAAATTTTATTGGTTCTAGGCAATAGGTACATAGTCTCTACTGTATTATCCTGGGTACTTTTAACTTTGCAATTGGGGAAAAAAAGAGGCTATGCATCCAGTGCTCTATTCCTAGATGGGGTAGGGGAGAGAAGGCACAATAAGCACAATGTTTTCTGATGTTGATTCGGTAACGAAAATAATGAAAAATTTTATAGTAATTTTCTCATGGTCAACTGAACATGCATCTTTTCAGCATGTTGCATAAAAATAGGGAATATGAAAATAGGGGGTAAACATGAAACTTTCAAAGCTGGCTGTAAAAGGCAAGAGTATTTACTTGAGTTTTCAAAATGGCAGATAAACCAAACTGTGTGGCTCGGTGGTGAGCACTGACCTATAAATCAGGAGGTCACAGTTCGATTCCTGGCCAGGGAACATGCCTAGTTTATGGGCTTAATCCCCAGTAAGGGGTTGCAGGAGACAGCCAATCAATGATTCTCATCATTGATGTTTCTATCTCTCTCTCTCTCTTCCTCTCTGAAATCAATAAAAATATATATTTTTAAAAATAACATAAGATAAAACTATTTCTTCATGTTACTGAACACTTGGCTTGTTCAAAGGCATAGAGAGAAAGTGATATATCCAGTATTTAAAGAGCCTAAATACATTACTCTACAGCTGAAATAACAGTTTTTAAAAGTTAAGACGACGTACCCTAACCAGTTTGGCTCAATGGATAGACATCGGCCTGCAGACTGAAAGGTCCCAGGTTTGATTCCAGTCAAGGGCATGCACCTTGGTTTGCAGGCACATACCCACCAGGGAGTGTGCAGGAGGCAGCTGATTGATGTTTCTCTCTCATCAATGTTTCTAACTCTCTATACCTTTCCCTTCCTCTCTGTAAAAAAATCAATAAAATATATATATTTTTAAAGTTAAGAAGATGTGGTACAATGAGTTTGTCATATTTTTACTCTTTCCCAACCTATGATTATTTTCCTCAGTATCTGGAGAAAGAAATTGATGATGCAGACATTATGCATATTTAAAAGCTATATCCAAGTGTTAAATTAAAATTGAATGTAAAGAAATAACTTCAGAACTAAATACAATCAAATAATGGATTAGGTACTAATTTGGAACCTTTATAATGAAAATTCAGTCTTCTAACTTTTGAGGGTGATGAGCTCTTCAATGTAGTATCTGACAGAGAGCTGACAATACTCTTTAGTGAAAAATTTCTCCATAATTTCTGAGCCCATACTAAGTATAAATTTCCGATAGTCATTTGCTGCCATTCTCAGCAACTATAGTTCTACATTAGGATATCTTCATTTAATAGAAATTAAGTAAGAACAGAAACCAACTGGATGCAAAGTTTAACTCCGACTCCTCTCAGGTCACTCTATAACACTGTTCCCATGAGGAAATACATTCTAATTTTTTAAAAAATATATATTTTATTGATTTTTTACAGAAAGGAAGGGAGAGCCAGAAACATTGATGAGAGAGAAACATCAATCCACTGCCTCCTGCACACCCCACACTGGGGATGTGCCCACAACCAATGTACATGCTCTTGACTGGAATCGAACCTGGGACCCTTCAGTCCACAGGCCAAAGCTCTTTCCACTGAGCCAAACCAGTTTTGGCTAACTTTCTTTTTAATATATCTTTATTGATTTCAGAGAGAAAGGGAGAGAGACACATCAAAGATGAGAGAATCATTGATTGGCTGCCTCCTGCACTCCCCCTAACGGAAGCTGAGCCCAAAACCCAAGCATGTGCCCTGACCAGGAATTGAACTGTGACCTGGTTCATGGATCGATGCTCAACCACTGAGCAACACCGTCCAAGCACACTCTAACTTTTAAACAAAGCAGTTTTATGTGTAGATAGCCATTACTTCAACAACACTAGCAAAAGAAAAGTAACAATAAAATAATGATAGTAATATTCTGCATTTTATATAACAGCCAAACTAAGACAATGATAAATATATATATATTTATCATTGTCTTAGTTTGGCTGTTATATAAAATGCAGAATATATATATATATATATATATATATATATATATATATATATATATTTATTTATCATTGTCTTAGTTTGGCTGTTATATAAAATGCAGAATATATATATATATATATATATATATATTTATTTATCATTGTCTTAGTTTGGCTGTTATATAAAATGCAGAATATTACTATCATTATTTGGCTGAGTGGCTGAGTGGCTCAGTTAGTTGGAGCGTCATCTAATGCATCAAAAAGTTGCAGGTTCAATTCCTGGTCATGCTTGGGTTGTGGGTTCAATCCCAGTTGGGGTGTATATAGGAGGAAACAAATAAACATTTCTCTCTTTCTGGCTTCCTTCCTCTTTCTCTAAAGTCAATGAACATATCCTTAGATGAAGACAAAAAAGTAAAAATGACATAAAAAAAAAATCAGAGCTGAGACTGTTCTTTCTCTCCATGGAAACCAGAACTGATAACAGCAAGAGCATCAGCATTAACAAGGTGGCGGCAGGTTAATGGCCTCTTACCCAGCTGGTTCTTCATCCCCATGAGCACAGAGTTCATGTGAGCTTTGGATGCATAGAGCTTGCTTACAGCCTTCCTTGACCTGATCATTTCCTTGGCCAGGACCACACAGACGTCTTTCTGACCCTTCTTGGCAGCATCTTTCACAGAGCGTTTCACTTTTTCTTCTTCTCTTTGAATGTCTAAATTTAAAGCACAATAAATAAATTAATTAATTAATTAATTAATTTAAAGCACAACACAAAACTACAAAAATTTAAGGGTAAACCAGGAGATTTATTGGTACTCAAATTTGTTCTTATTGTGATCTAACTATGTCTGTTAAATAGGAAAACAGGAGAATATAAACAAAAGTAAGCTAATTAATGTGGTGGGTATTTATTTCCAGATACAACGTAATTTGAGAGTAAAAGTAAAAGTTGCCTGGCCACTGTAGCTCAGTAGTTGAGTGTCAACTTATGAACTAGAAGTCACAGTTCAATTCCTGGTCAGGGCACATGCCCAGATTGCAGGTTCAATCCCCAGTGAAGGGCACGCAGGAGGCAGCTGACCAATGATTCTCTCTCATTATTGATGTTTCTATCTCTTCCTCTCCTTTCCTCTCTGAAATCAATAAAAACTTATTTTTTTAAAAATAAGTTTAACAAATTTTTCATTTCAATTATTATTCCTTTAAGCTGCTGCATTTCTTTTTGATTTATTTTCATTGTTTTCTATCTCTTTAGTGATATTTCCATTTTGTTCATACATACTTTTCTTAATTTTGTCCACATCTTACTTTATACCTCTTTAAGACAGCTGTTTTAGAGTTTTTGTTAGTAAATATGTCATCTAGTCTTTCTCATGAATATTTTCTGCTCCTTTACTTGCTGTTGAATGGACAATACTTTAGGTTTCTTTGTATGCCTTGTGATTTTTGTTGTAGTTGTTAAAAATGGGACATTTGAATCATCACATAACTCTGGAAATCAGGTTCTCCCACTTTCCTCAGGATTTGCTATTTTTTAAAACTTTTATTGTATTAGGATGCCTGTGCTGAGATTCAGCTTGAGGTGTAAACCTAGACTTCTCAGGTCTTCCAGAGGCTGCATCCTTCCCTGGGCATCACAGGACTTTCTCCTACATCCTCCTTTTCATGTGGTTGCTTTGTATCTTAGTCCTTGATGTCAAAAATGTAAAATGGTACAGTCCTATGGAAAACACTACAAATTCTTCAAATTCTTCAAAATACTACGTTCTTCAAAATTTAAATATAGAATTACTATTATATTTGACCCATTTCTGGGGTATATACACAAAAGAATTTAAAGCAGGGACTCAAACAGATAATTGTACACTCGTGTTCATAACAGCATATTCACGACAGCCAAAAGGTAGAAATAACCCAGATGTCCATCGACAAATCAATAAACAAAATGAAGTTCAAACATACAATATGATATTATTCAGGGTTTTTAAAAAAAAATTTAAAAATATATTTTATTGATTTTATACAGAGGAAGGGAGAGAGATAGAGAGTTAGAAACATTGATGAGAGAGAGTCATCAATCAGCTGCCTCTTGCACACCCTCTACTGGGGATATGCCCGCAACCAAGGTACATGCCCTTGACCGGAATCGAACCCAGGACCTTTCGGTCCCCAAGCTGACGCTCTATCCATTGAGCCAAACCTGTTTCGGCTATTATTCAGTTTTAAAAAGGAAATTCTGATATATATTATTACATGGATGAATCTTAAAAGCATTATGGTAAGTAAAATAAACCTTATTCAAAGAAAAACATTGTTCGATTCCACTTTTATGAGGTAACCTAACAGTAAATTATAGAGACAGAAGGTAGAACAGTGATTACGAGGGAATGTCAGAGAGGGGGGAAATGGAGTTATTACTTAGTGGTACAGAGTTCAGTATGGGATGAAATATTAGTTCTGGAGATAAACAGTAGTGATGGTTACAATGCAATGTGAATAGACTTAAGGTTACTGAACCGTATACTTAATAGTTAAAATGGTCAATTTTATGTTATGTATATTTTACTGTAAGAAATACATAAAGCAGCAATAAGAGTATTATGATCCATTTATAAACAAGTGTTTGTGTATAGAGGCAACTATAGACAGAAACATATCTGGAAGAGATGATCACCAACATGCTCTCTCTAGATGGTAGGACTTCAGAGAGGTTTTAACTTTCTTATTTATACTTTTCTGCCTCAATAATAATAATATGTATATTATTACCTTTCTAGTTGGTGGGGGGGGCAGGCTGTGTTCATTTGAGAGAGGCAACATGAATGATCTAAATTGTGATATGTTTTGGTATGGTTTTGTATTGTTCCTGTTTGAAGAATTGCTTGTTTCTGTGTGTTTGCAGTATTCATCAGTTATCATTTTATCTGATCCTTTCCCGACTCCTCTCCTTCTGAGACTCAAATTACATGCTGGGCCACAAATAATGTTCATTTAAAAAAAACACAAAAAACTTTTCCCTCTCGTCCGGCTAGCATAGCTCAGTGGTTGAGCATCAACCTATAAACCAGGAGGTCATGGTGTGATTCCCAGTCAAGGCACATGCCTGGGTTATGGGCTTGATCGCCAGTGTGGGGTGTGCAGAAGGCAGTTGGTTGATGATTCTCTCTCATTACTGATGTTTCTCTCTCTCTCCTTTCCTCTCTGAAATCAATAAAGATTTATTAAAAAACAAACAAACAAACAAAAAAACATTTTTCCTCTCTCTGTACTATAGTTTTGGAAGTTTGCATTGGTATCTTCAATTTCATTGATCTTGTGTTCTGTAGTGTCTAATCTGCTTATTAATCCTGTTCAGTGACATTTTTATTTTATTTTTCTTTATTTCAGAATAGAGGCCCGGTACATGAAATTTGTGCATTCGAGGGTTGGGGGGGTCCCTCAGCCTGGCCTGTGCCTTCTCGTAGTCTGGGAGCCCCTGGGGGATGTCGACTGCAGGCTTAGGGGAGCAGGCCTAAGCCAGCAATCTGACATCTCCAGCGCTGCCGCGGAGGCAGGAGAGGCCCCTGTCACCACCGCTGCGCTCACCAGCTGTGAGCCCAGCTCAGGGCTGAGTGCACTGACTACTTGTGGCAGCTCCTGCATTGAGCATCTTACCCCTGGTGGTCAGTGCTCATCATAGCAACCAGTCATTCTACTGTTCAGTTGATTTGCACATTAGCCTTTTATCATATAGGATGTTTTATTTCTAGAAGTTCCACTTTGCTCTTTTCTTTCTTTTTTTTTATTTTATATATTTTAAAAATTTATTTCAGGGAGAAAGAAGGAAAGAGAGACAGAAGCATCAATGATGAGAGAGAATCATTGATTGACTGCCTCCTCAACACCCCCTCTGGGGATCAAGCCAGCAACCCAGGCATATGCCTTTGACTGGAATTGAACCCAGGACCCTTCTGTCCATAGGCCAACATCCTATCCACTGAGCCAATCCAGCAAGGGTACACTTTACTCTTTTCTTTATCTTCTATTTATCTCCTTACAGTGTTCATGCTTTCCTTTAAATTCTTCAATGTATTTATAATAGCTGTCTAAAATTCTTGTCTGCTTTCTACCATTATTGGCTTTTTTAGTCTATTTATAGTTTTTTTATTTTGATTCCCACTTTTCTGCTTCTTCCCAGTAATTGCTAAGTGTCTAAATTTTTTCTTTTAAAGAGCGGCTTTACTTGGAAGACAGTTAAATTGCCTGCAGATCAGCTTTCAAGACTTGAATTTAAACTCTGTTGGTATGGCCTGTAATCTAGGGCTATTTAGCCTTAATTTTAGGCATGGCCCTTCTGGGTTCTCTATTAACTGTCCTAGATGTTCAAAAAGGTCTCATTACTGTGTGGGATCAGAACTCTACCATCTCTCAGTTATTTGTTAGTACTGGGACTTGTTTAGTCTGTAGCTTCCTAGTAGTTTGTTCTGTTCTCAGTAATTGTTCTTTGACCAACCACTTGAAATCTCATTCTAAGTATACAGGGCACAGTGTTCGGCCAGAGACTCAATGAGACGCCATGCAGATGTTTGGGCTCTTTATCAGGAAATGCCCTTCTCTCTGATACACTGGCCCACAAAGTCCAGCCACTGCAGCTTCCTTGATCCCTGATTTGTTTCCCCAACTCATGCTCTGTTTAGAACCCCCTTCCATGTACTGTGTATGATCCAGAAAATTGCTCCAGGCAGAAAATCAGGGACATACTAATACCTATCAGGGCTCTCTCCCTTTGTTTCCCTTCTATCGGTGATCAAAATTCTGTACTGCCAGTTGTCCAATGTTTGCAAATAGACATTTCATAGACTCTGTCCTGTTGTTTCTTTATTTACAATGAGAGTGCAAGTCTGAATCCCTCACTCCACTGCGGCTGGGAATGAAATTCCCCTCTCCGATTCTTTTTTTAACAAAGATATTGGGAATATTTTTATGGTATTAATTTTATTCTAATCATGAAAGTGTTAAAAATCATTAAAGTTTTAAATGTCATTATCTCTTTGCAAGTCACCTTACTTTTAATCATTTCTTTAGAGTTTTCTTTAGTTCTTTATTGTTAATGGCTTAAAACAACGCATTTATTCTTCCGTAATTCTGGTGGTTAGGAGTCTAAAAAATCAATGTGTTGGAAGGACTGTGTTTCTTCTGGAAGCTTCGTGGGAGAATCCACTTCCCTGTCTTTTCTAGCTTCCAGAGGCCAACAGTGTTCTTTGGCGCACGGCCTGTCCCTCCATGTTCAAAATTCACCACTCCAACACCTGGTGCTGTGGCCACATCTCCTTTCCCCTCACTTTCCTCAACACAATGCCTCCTTCTTCTAAGAACCTTTGTGATTACACTGCCCCCCCCCCCCCCCCAGACAGGCCTGGATTATATCCCCACTTCAAGAGCCTTAATTTAATCACATCTGCACATTCCCTTTTGCCATGTAAGGTAACATATTCCCAGGTTGTGGAGATTAAAATGTGGACATCTTTGGGAGGACATTATTCTGACTACGATAGTATATGAGCATCTGCTTTGTTTCCAACTCTGAGCTCTAGAAAAGTCAGTAATGAATGAACATGACCCCTCTCCCTTGAATAGCTGAATTTCAGGCCAGAAAAAGATTTAGTTCTAACAAAATATAAAGTTTCTTTGAGTTAGTTCTTATAATTATTAGAAAGCAAAACAGGATAGTTAGAACAATTATAAATAACTTAAGAATCGACTATGTTTTGAAGCAGCTTATTTTTATGAACTAATGCAAAATACACTAAGGGAGTGAGGGAACAGGAGACATAAAATAATAATTTACCTCTTATTTGCCTGTCAACAACTCTCATTTCCTTTCTTATCTTCAATGACCACTCATTGACCTGGGAAAGATTTTAGAAAAGGGATTATAAGAGAAGCCAACCTTCTAACTCACCAAATTTTATAGAATTTTATATTAATTCCATATTTATTCTAGTACAAAATAAATAAAGCCATTTTCAAAAAAGAGTTTTAGGGCAAATTCCATTTTTCATCTATTTAATCATAGTACATAGAATTCCCAAGCTATTCAGAGAGTCTTATCTGAAGGTAGGCAGTAAAAAGCATTTCATATAAGATCTCAGAGAGAGTTCAGTACCCTGCAGGTACATAAAGATTTTTCAAGAGCTGCACGGGTACAGACAGGTGTTAAGGGTATCAGATTTTCAACTACGACAGATAATTATTTCAAACTGCTCTGCCTGTGTCACGAGAGTTCACCTTTTCCTTTTCCCTTTTAACAATGCTTTTTCACTTCACTAGGAAAGACAGTCCTCTAACCTATGCCTCTTATTACCTTGAATGTGTTTCCCTGAAAGGCAAAATCTCTAAAGCAGTAAATATAAGGGCAACTGGAAATACTGGTGTAAATGCTGAGGCAGTAGTGAAAATGACAGACTCTAATGATTATCAAATGCTTATGCAAGTATAAAGTGTTTTCCAATTCTTCAGTTTCAAAAAAACTGAAGGAAAATCTGAATTATCAACTGATAAATCACTACAACTAAATTTTACAGTAAATCACACTGTGTTTTTTTTTGGCGTATGATATAGAAATTCAAAGAACTGAGTGACACAGACATAACAAAATGTCCATTACAATCTACTTATTTATATTAACAATGTTTCTCAGTTATTATGGCTAACAAAACATAAAACAGGCCTTTTTTTCCTGCCTGCAGAGCCTCACAATGAGGACATCTCAGGTACACCTGCAGCCATGCCATCCGAGGGTCCTCTGCAGTTGGGCAGGTCTTAGGACACAAGAAAACTGCTAGCGCCATGGTACAGGGCAAACGGGGCAACTGCCTCATTAGATTACGGGTGCTCCCTGAACATGACCCAACTACACACTGCGACACAAGCTCCGGGAGCCTGCTCTGCCTCTGGGCAAGGAACAATGAGCTGGTTGTGTCCGTGTGCCGGGTGGTGATCACGTGACCCAGATTTATGCAATATGCCAGTCCACCTCCAAAACCCTGGTGACCTAGTACCAAAAATATGTGGATAGGCTCCAAAGAAGGAGATCAAAGACATTCTCACACAGTATGAATATACTATTCTGGTTGCTGCCTGCCTCCGCAGCAAACCCCAAGAGTTAAGTGACCCTGGTGCCCATGATCACTACCAGAAATTCTATAATAAAGCCCATCATGAAGATCAGAATTCACCTTTCTAGTAAACAATGGTTGTGAGAGTTAAGATTAAAAATAATCCCTATCTAATAAAAGCCTAATATGCTAAGTGGTCAGTTGTTCAGCCAATTAAAGCATAATATGCTAATGATATGCTAAACACTGCTCAACTACTTACTATGATGTACACTGACCACCCCTAGGAGGCAGACAGTGGACTGGTCGACCAGTCACTATGACATGCACTGACCACCAGGGGGCAGATGCTCCAATTGGTGGGGCAGATGCTCTGACTGGTAGGATAGCTGGCTTTTGGGGTCTGGCAGATCAGGACTGAGCAAGATGGGCTGGGCATGCCCTGGAGCCCTTCCTGGTTGGTCAACCTCCCACATCCCTCCCCGGCTCTCATGGTGCACTGGTGGGGTCCCTTGGCGTGGCCTGTGCCCTCTCACATTTGGCCTGCCGGAGAAACGACCGGTTACCAGTGGTCCAGGGTTGTGAGAGACACATCCCCCAAGGGATCCCAGATTGGAGAGGATGCAGGCTGGGCTGAGGGGACCGCACCCCAGCCAGCATGAATTTTGTGCACCATACCTCTAGTTTACTATAAAATAGCTCATAGGAAATTGAAAAGAATATTTAAAGTATCACATTTCTATCTTGTTTTAACAGTAATAAAAATCAAGATTTGCTAATAACCATTAATATTACAGTTGATTTAAATCTTAAAAAAACAATACTATCATAGTATTGCTATTTTCATACCAAGAAAAAGATATTAAGAAGATTTTTATTTTATTTTTTATATTTTATTGATTTTTTTTTACAGAGAAGAAAGGAGAGGGACAGAAAGTTAGAAACATAGATGAGAGAGAAACATTGATCAGCTACCTCCTGCACACCTCCCATTAGTGATGTGCCCGCAACCAAGGTACATGCCCTTGACTGGAATCAAACCCGCGACCCTTCAGTCTGCAGGCCAACACTTTATGCACTGAGCCAAACCAATTTTGGCAGATATTAAAAAGATCTGAGAATTCAAATCTGAAATCTGCTGAGTCTGTCTCCAGTTTTATAAAGGCTGCAGTTCTTTATCTGAACTGACCTTTTGTAATTGGACTCTTCCTTAATTTAGGATCCCCATGCTTTCCTCATTGGTCACTCTGTACATAGTATTAGTTTCAGAGCTTGTGGTGCCCCTTACTTTATCTCCTCCTTATCCTGCAACATTTCTTTATCCTCTGTTAAAGGTCTCTTGGAGCCGTTTCTGCCCTTCACATACCCATCTTACCTGTTCAAGTTGGAGTTGCTTTTGATCTCCCTTAGGGCTCCCTCAGCTGCTCAGGTTAGAGCTGCTTTTGATCTACCTTATGGCTGCTTTGATTACTCAGGCCAGAGATACTTTTGTCCTTGGTTTATGGCTGTTTTAATTGCTCAGGCCAAAAATGTCTCCATCCTTTCTGCCCCCCCTTCCTGTTTGCCAAATTAAGCTAGCTAGCTAATTCTTATAAATCTGATTGATTTGAGGATTTAAAAAAAATATATATTTTTTATTTCAGAGAGGAAAGGAGAGGGAGAGAGAGAGAGATAGAAACATTAATGATGACAGAGAATCATTGATTGGCTGCCTCCTGCACACACCCAATGGAAATGGAGGGCATGTGCCCTGACTGGGAATCAGAAATCAAACTGTGATCTCCTAGTTCATAGGTCAATGCTCAACCACTGAGCCATGCCAGCTGGACTATGAGGTTTTTTAAAATAAATTTCAGCCGAAACCGGTTTGGCTCAATGGATAGAGCGTCGGCTTGGGGACTGAAGGGTCCCGGGTTCGATTCCGGTCAAGGGCATGTGCCTTGGTTGCGGCCATATCCCCAGTGGGGGATGTGCAAGAGGCAGCTGATCGATGACTCTCTCCCATCGATGTTTCTAACTATCTCTCTCCCTTCCTCTCTGTACAAAATCAATAAAATATATTTAAAATAAATAAATAAATAAATAAATAAATTTCATCTTTAAAACAAAACTTCTGACTGAGCCTGGCCAGCATGGTTCAGTGTTGAGCTTTAACATATGAACAAAGAGTTCACGGTTTGATTCCTGGTCAGGGCACATGCCTGAGTTTTGGACTGGATCCCCAGTGTGGGCATGCAGGAGGCAGCTGACCAATGACTCTCATCATTGATGTTTCTATCGCTCTTTCCCTTTCCCTTCCTCTCTGAAATCAATAAAAACATATTACCGTATTTTCCGGTGTATAAGACGACTTTTGAACCGAAAAAAAAAGTCAACAGAAAATCGGGAGGGTGGGGGGGTGTTGTCTTATACGCCGAGTATATCCCGAAAAAACGTCTCGATATGCCACTAAACGAATTTTCCAACTCGATCCCGCACCAATCACTGCAAGGCTGCTCGGACCGCCTCTCTAACTCAGCCAATCCAAGCAGGCTTTTTATGCATGCAAATTATACATGTTCTGTACCCGAAGCTACACTGTGTTGTAGTAAAAAGCCTGCTCAGATTGGCCAGAGTCAGAGAGGCGGTCTATTATAACCTTTGAACCTTTGCTTGTTGTGATTGGCTCACCATGGTACATACAATTGTAGCACAGGAACGTTCTGTGTAGCCAAAGCTGCTGTATCAGGACACATACAGTGAGTTAAAAGGAACCATAGTAGAACATTCTGTGCGTAGCTGAAGCTACAGTACTGTATAACCCCGGCCTAAAAGATTAATGGGTGTACAACAAATGGCTGGTAGAAAAGAACCCATCATGGCTCCAGCAAGAAAAAGGAAATTTGAAGCCAGTTTCAAACTGAAAGTTGTCAACTTTGCCAAGGAACACAATAACTGTGCTGCGGCAAGACAATATGGAGTAACAGAAAAGATGGTCCGAGACTGGAAAGCAAATGAAGATGCATTAAAGAGTATGCCAAGGAGTAAGTGTGCATTAAGAGGCACCCCTTATTGGCCAGAACTTGAAAAGCATGTAGCAGACATGGTTCTTGAGCATCATCAAAATGGTTATGTAGTGACACGAAACAAAATACATATGTTTGTACTTCAGTGGGCCAAATCTAACCCAGATAACAGCAAAGGATTTAAGGCCACTGTATCCTGGAGTACTAGGTTCTTGGAAAGGCACAATCTGGTACTGAGGCAAAAGTCCAAAATTGCACAAAAATTACCTGCAGATCTTGACAGCAAAGTAAGTCTTTTCCATCAATATGTAATACAACAGCGTAAGAAACATGGCTATGCATTAAGTCAGATCAGAAATATGGATGAAACTCCTATGAATTTCAATATGGTTGGAAATAAAACTGTTAATCCAAAAGGTGCAAAAACAGTGTTAATTAAAACAACAGGACATGAGAAGTCCAGTTTTACAGTGGTACTAGCATGTACAGCTGATGGTGCCAAACTAAATCAAATGATTATTTTTAAAAGAAAAACAATGCCGAAAATCAAGTTCCCTGTTGGAGTTTTTGTACATGTGAATGAAAAAGGACGGATGGATGAAGAAGGGGTAAAGCTATGGCTTGATAATGTATGGAGTAGGCGACCAGGTGGACTTCGTCAAGAATGTAGCCTACTGGTGTGGGATATGTTCAGGGCTCATTTAACTACCAGCACAAAGAACCGGCTGGCAAGAATAAACACAGATGCGGCAGTTATTCCTGGAGGATTGACATCATTGATATAGC